TGCATACACCTGTTTAATCCAAGCCCTTATCAAGATACAGAATATTACCCCTCCCCAAGAGGCCTCAAGCCCATCCCAGCTGTCTCCACCCTCCTATCTCCGCAAGCAATCACTGCTTCAATTTTTAATTACCTCGATTAGTTTTGCCTGTTCTAGAACTCGAAACAAATGGATTTATGTAGTATGCAGTCCTTTGCGTTTAGCTTCTGTCACTCAACATATTTTTGAGATCATTCGTGTTGCTTAATATAACGTAGTTCTCAATAAATAATGATTTGCTTATTTTTATCAGTGTTAACCTGAGCTTTAAGTTGACTAAAAGTATCAGCATCCTTGCTAATTGTATAATCTAAATACAATTATAACAGCTTGAACGTCTCTCAAGCCGTTAGTTGGTTTAGCGCTGCGGTTTGTTGGTGACTCAATAAAGGAAGGGCAAGTTTTGTGGAAAAAGAAAAACAAGGCATCATCTTTTTAAAATTAAATTACCAATGGATGGTGGTTGGAGCACCTGAGACAGAGCAGATAGTAAGAGACTATAGCCTCTCCTCTTCTCACAGGTACAGGTGTGATGGTTAAATTCGGCATTTTTCACAGGAACAGTTTTCTGGAATCTTCACTTACGATAAGCTACAGCCAAAGGTAGGATGTGACCTGGCCAAATCTGCATGTTTGAGTTCTTTCCACAGTGGTTCCCCACTCAGCAGGGAGGGGGCTGAGAACTGCTGTGGGGAAGTAGGGTAAGCTTCCACTTGTTGCAGTACACGTGACTGGCTTTTTGGGAGAGTACCAATGAGTTGGAAGAGTCCCAACTGAAAATTTTCAAAAGAATCCCCTCAAACCCACAACTGTCTTCTCTACAAGTGGGTTCCCAAGCTCAGGGAGGGTGAGGGACAGTGTACTATTTAGCAGGATAATTTTATTGGTGTGATTTGATATTTCTATTAGGGTGGATCGGGTAGTTTCAACCCCAGGAAAATCAATATTCTATTAGTCAAGGGGGCTAACCTCACCTGTGGCTTGGAGCCGACCCCCACCCCCCCGCTCTGTTTACATACAGCCCAGATTACTAACAGTAGGCACCAGCATCTCAGGTAGTTTTCTTGGGTGTAGCCAGGTGGCTGGATCTAAACTGTTCAAGGAAAGGCCTGGCTCCATAACT